CCCTTAGGTGTGGGTGGCCTTCCCAGGGCTCCAGGTCTTGTTTTTTGCTGCTCTGCAGTTTGCTCTGTCCTATGCAGATGTCCCCTCTGTGGATGGTTGAGTCATTGCCAAGTGATGTCTCTCCCATTCTCACCTTTAGTGACTTGTGAATTTCATGATTTTCTTTGCCATTTCATTGTCCTCATGCCTTCCTGACTCCTACCCTGTCTTCCACCCTTTCTGCCTCCCCTGATGCACATTGCTAAGGACAAAACGGGGAGGAGGACACCTAGACCTGCTTGATGTATGAATTTCCCTTTGTTGAAGTCATGGTGGCTTAATAGCGACACCGCCTTTTCCCCAAGACCCAAGTGTCAAGTGCTATGGGGAGTATTTTGCAGGTGCCATCTCTTAGTCCTTACAACAGCCTTGTATTTTATTATCTGGCAGCTCTTGTGTTATTATTTCCGTCTCATGGGTCAGGATATGGACACGGTATAGGCACAGGCCGGCCAGTTCCTAAGACTGCAGGTGGCACAGCTGGCAAGCGAAGGCTGTGCATCTGAAGTTTACTTGATGCCAAAGGCTCGGCTCTGGAGTGTCTGTGAACCTCATCGATTTGGTAAATTGGTTAGGATGCTTTTCCTCAACTTTATTTTGAGTAAATAAATGAATGTAAACTTGAAAAATTGAAATCTGATGTATATATATATAAGAGAGCATGAGTCATATGTGTATACCTCAGCTGCTTTTCACCAAAGACACCCACTATGTAAAGTGGGAGCAAGGAATAGAGCAGGACCATCTCCCGAGAAGTCCCCTTGTGCCCCAGCCAGGCCTCAAGGGCAGTCACTGCCCTGACCCTCATTACCACCAGCGATTGTTGCTGTGGTATAAATGCCACTGTACTTTGTGCAGTCTTATATCTGGCCTCATTTTGAATTCAGGTTTGAAGGATGTTTAAAAATACAATAGTTCCCCCTTATCTGCAGTCTCACCTTTGTGGTTGCAGTTACTTCAACTACAGTCAGAAAATATTGCATGGAAAAGTCCAAAAATTGAACAACTCATGAATTTTCAATCCCAGGCCATTCTGAGTAGCAGGAGGAAATCTTACTTGCTACTTCCTGCCTGGGATGGAAGGCATGCTGTTACACACCAAATCCCTGCTGTATATGCTACCTGGCTTTTAGCCACTCAGTAGTTGTCTGTGATCAGATGCCCGTCATGGCATTTGTAGTGCTTATGTTTGGGGGACTCCTATATGACTTACAGTGGTTCCAAAGCATAAGATGATAGTTCTGGCAATTCACATACACTACAGAGATGCTGTAAAGGGCTTCCTTTCATGAAAAGGCGAAAGTACAACATTTTGAGAGGGAGAGATCACATTCACATAACTTTGATTATAATGTTACAGTTTTTCTGTTGTGTTATCACTGTTTTTATCTCTCAAATCACTCAATGAGTTAAACTTTATCATAGGATATATCTGGGATTCTGGAAGTCATCCCCCATGGAGAAGGCAGTTGTCTGTACCCACTGTATGTTTATAAATGAGTTTTTGATTACGACACTAATCCTCAGCCAGTGGAGAAGAGTTTCCTTATGAGTTCTCTTCCATATTGTCATGATGAGCCCACAGCATGACCATTTCTTGGTTCATTTGCCTCTGTTTCCTTCCCTTGTGGATCCCTGGTTGAGACCCTGCATCGTTGTGGTTTACTCGCTTGATGACACCAGGCAGCCTAGTGGACAGTGCCAGCTTCCTCCCAGGCCATGTGGGTTCCCCCAGGATGGATGCATGTTAACAGCTCTGGCAGCAGTTCTCTGCACTGTTGGTGAGTTGTAAATCGCCTCAGTATGATGATCGCAGACCTCCTGTGTAGTTAGAAGAAGCAGACACCTGGGAAAGAAGAGGGTGTCTTCCAGAGACCAGTGTGCACTTCTCCCATCTGCACTTTGTGCATCTCCTTGTTGATCCGGTACATTTGGCTCTGTGCTATGTGGGGTTCCTTATCCTGCACATCTGGGATTGCTGAGAGGGCGACAGATGAAACCCTGCCTCACGGGAGGTGTCCACCCGGACTGATGGTGCACAGAGATGCTTAGCCCCACCTGTGGTGTTCCTCTCAGGCAAACTGTTGTTCTTAGAAAATAAGAGCACCCAGGTGGTTTTGTTTCCTGGGAATTTGCCTGTGACTGTGTCTGGCATCATCTGGATACTCATTTGCAGTTTAGGGCCCAGATCATGGTGCTGGATATATGGGTCATAGAGCTTGCTACTTTTCACTCTTTCCCGAGACAAAATGCCTGACACCCAAAGTTAAAGGGTGAAAGGGTTATTTAGCTCACAGTATATGGAGGTTTCAGTCCATAATCAGCTGGCTCCAAGGCAGGATGGTTTAGCAGACAGGTATTGCAGAGGAGAAACAGTTCATGCCAAGCAGAAGACAGCAAAAACAAGCAAACAAGCAACCTTAACAGCATCTTTCTGCCCCTTTTATCCAGACCACTTAGGGCGGGCAGCACTCACACCCTTCATCCTAGTGCCCTTGAGCCTAACATTGCACCGTGAATCAATCCCAGCTTCACACGCTCTAGATCCAGCCACCTCTGAAAATGCCCCACCTGTGACCGCACGAGGCTTTGCGGGGACCTCTAGACACAAGCTATAACACCACAGGACTTAATCTTACGGAGTTCTTTGACGCTCAGAATTCTGGCACGACAGGAATTGACTGAAATGCTCAGTTTTGTGGTCTGCTCTTCAAAGGCAACAAAGTGCTATTTGATTACAACTCCAGATGTAACTCCCATAAGTGGCGTAGGTTATGTGCTAACCCTAATGTGCATATATTGAAGTGTCATAGGGGCTTTATGTATTGCTGAGAACACCAAAGCAAAAAAAATGAGATTTAACTAGGCATGATGGTGTATGCCTGTAATTCCAGTACTAAGGGAGGCTGAGGCAGGAGGATTGCCAGTTTGAATTCTGCATGGGCAACATAGCAAGATCCTATCTCAGAATAAAAAAAGTGAAAGGGCCAGGGATGTAGCTTAGTGGCTAAACACTCCTGGATTTGATCCTCAGTGCCAAGGGGGTTAGGGGAGAGATCGACTTAGTGGTTTGGTGATGTGAAGGCTTTGTTTGGGGTATGTTGTCTGTATATGTGTGTCTGTTTCCAGAACATTCTGTATGGTCCTTGTTATATAAAAGATTTGGGCCAAATAGGCATTTAACATTAGTAACTAAAAGCAGTTTTCCAGGAGATAACAGGTATCTTCAGATTATGTCCTTTGGTTAAGAGGAGGGGGGGAAGTTTAAAAGTTTTCATGCGTTTAATTAGCTTTTATGGAAGGAAAAATAATAGCTTATATTTTATATTCAAGGTAAAACATGAGTATTAAAGTGCAGGCTGGTGAAAGTCTGGTATCTTGTATCAATTTTCCATTGTGTGCCTGCTGTGTTTACAAAACTTGAGTCAGTATTAAAATCGAGACTTTTAAGTTCTGTGTTAGTATTCATGGTGTTTCAGTGTAAAGTGTTAACGGCAGTACCCAGGAAGAGCCCAGACTTGACCTAAGAGGATGTGGCAGCAAGAAAACTGTGCATACTTTATTCACAGTGTGAACGTCTAGACTTCCTCGTGGTCTCTGGGCTAAGATAGAGGAAGTAGTGGTCTTCAATGTAGGTGCTCTGGGATGTGGGCATTAGCACTCCTGTTTCTTCCATCCTCTACAGTGGCTTTGCTCTGTGCATGTTTTTAATGTCTGTGATGTACTAGCCCTTGGAGGCTAAATAATAATTTAGTTCATTGGAAGAAAAACATACGCATTGAATTTTGGTGGAGAGATAGAAATGTGCAACCAAGGTTAGATTCATTTGTATTAAACAGAAGAAGAAACGGTAGCTTAAATGACACCAAGGTTTGTTTCTGTTTCCCATAAAAGACCCTCGCCTTCAGCATCCCAGGGTGAGTGTCCCAGCTCCGTGGTTTCCTCAGGGTCTGTGCATTGCATCTTTCTGTCCCCTCCATCCCTCCGCAGTTGATGTCCCTCTGGAAAGTCATCTTGTAATCTGAAACGGCTGCAGGAGCTCCAGTCATCTTGCTTATATTTCAGGCAGTGGGAAGGAAGACAAGAAGAGAACAGTGTCCTTCTTCTTGATTCTTTACTTTTAAATAAATCGATAAACTCTGTTTTTTAGAGCACTTGTAGGACCATTGCAAAACTGAACAGGAGGTGCTCACTCTGCAGCTCCACGTGGGCCTCTCTCCCCTCGTTTCTTTCAAGCCAAGGCCTTACCCAGGTACCCTTGGCTCGCAGCTTCTGCTTGCATCTGCTGGCCAGAGCATGGCAGACCTGGCCACAGCAGAGCTAGGAAAGCTGCTTCTCCTACCTGGGAGCTTTACTGCAGCCTCAGAGGAAACTGGAGCTGTGGTTACATAAGGGAAGTTGTTGAGTAAGAGAATTAAAGTCTGTCACACTTCATCTGTTGAAAAAAAAACAAACCTGTTACAAACCCATTTGATGTAAGAGAGTCTCTTGTTTTCTCTGTTAAACAAAAGGAAAGTTTGAGTCTAAGTTTTAAACTGGTGAGTTTTGAAAACTTTTTTGTTTATTAGTGTTGACATGTATGTACTATTTACTATGTAAAATTTTTATGTGTTCTTAAGCCCTGAAAATGATGATGATTTTCAGTTATACTAAGAAATCATATAATTATACAAGGTTAATTAGGAAGTACCTTGTTTTATAATGGGACCCAAGTGGATAAGCACAATTTTTAAGTCATATTAAAATAGGGTTCAATATAGGTATCTATGGTATATCCTACATTTCAGCCATTATTTATTTTAAGTTTATTCCACTGGTAAAACTGGGTTTCAGAAGGAAATCATCCCAAGGGAAGCATTGCTTTTTGTCATCTGTCTTCTCAAGCTAGCAGAGGTTGAGACCCATTCTTTTATGATAAATAATGGTTTCTTTCCTCCCTCCCCTTGACCTCACTCCCACAGTGCCTACTCCTTCCACGTTAGCGCAGACGGTCAGATGCAGCCGGTCCCCTTCCCCCCCGATGCCCTCATCGGACCCGGAATCCCCCGACACGCTCGCCAGATCAACACGCTCAACCACGGGGAGGTGGTGTGCGCGGTCACCATCAGCAACCCCACGAGACACGTGTACACAGGCGGCAAGGGCTGCGTCAAGGTGTGGGACATCAGCCACCCTGGCAATAAGAGTCCTGTCTCTCAGCTGGACTGTCTGGTGAGTGCGCAGGAGCTGCTGCACACAGGCAATTTCTCCTCGGAGACTCAATAAGGAGATAGCTGTCCGGGCCTGGGTTTCATGCCCATTAGGAGGAAATAGGAGCCCACCTGTTTCCTATGCTGATTCTCTCCCCCACCCACTCCGTTCCTGCAGTGAGGTTTCATTTGTTGCTGTGGAAGTGGTTGGATCCCAGCATGCATAGATTTCTTGTTGAAAATAGTTTACAGTGTGTTTTAGAAGCTCTTGATGTGTAGAAGTGTATTACAAAGGGGGTTTCCCGTTTAGTGGATGAAAAGCACAGCTAGGTCTGGACTCTGGTTCCAATCCATTTTTAATTTCCTGGCAGCCTGCAGATAAATGTTGACTAGTAAACATTTGATATTGAGGCTTGAAAATCCCCCATGGACAGGGTCTGTTTTGTTAAGGGAGACCTGGGAGAGCTGGCTGGGTTTTACTACCTTAATTTCAGGAAGAGTTAAAAGATCACACTTCCAAGGTGTGGGGCCTCAGTCAGCACAACAGGCACGGAAGGAACACCTTCCCAAGGCATACAAGGTCTAAGAATACCAGTTTGCATTTTCAGGGGCACAGAACATACCATGTTAGGTCTGAAAAGTGTAACCCCAGGATTTACAAACCCCTGGTTGGCCGCCTTCCCTGGGGCGTCTGCCTACACAAAGATTCACTGTCTGGGTGGACATGAGGGTTGCAGAGGCCATGTTCCCAAAAAGCAGAGTGGCATTGTTCTTGAGACATGAAGACTTTAGGGGGATAGCTACTAGTACTTTTTCTTTAAATTAAATAACTCAAAAATACTTCCTTTAATGAAACTTGGACTTCAGTCCAATGTTCTATAGTAGTAGCAGTGTTCTCTTTTGAAGTTTTGTGCTTAAAGTTCCTGTGATCTTCAGAAGATAGGGCACTGTTAAAGCTTGTTCACTGGGGTCTGGGACGGAAGACAACAGCGACTTCTGTCCTGGAGGTGAATCGTATTAGGTCCCACCCCACCTACTTTCTTCAATGTGCTGGGTTTTTGCTGGGGAAATGCCACCTTTTATCAAGTTCTTTGGCCTTTGAATTGAGAGGCTTACATGAGACAGGAGTTGCATTATAGCCCATAATCCCAGCTGCTCCGGAGGCTGAGGTAGGAGGATTTTAAGTTCAAGCCCAGCCTGAGCAGCTTAGTGAGATGCTGTCTCAAAATAAAATAAAAAGGGATGGGTGTGAAGCTCAGTAATAGAGCACTTACCTAGCATGTGTGCGGTCCTGGATTCAGTCCTCAGTATAGCAAAATAAAATCACAAGTTAAGAGAGCAGCTCTATGAAATTCTTAGGTAAGAATCTTCTGACTAAAGAAAACTACAGTGTAACATTTGGTAGAGAGTTAAGAGCCTGCAAACCAAAGCATATGCAGGGGGCCTGCAGTTCCCAAATAGTAAATAATAGAGAGGGGCAACATAAAAGATGTAAAACTTGCTTTGAAAAGTGTTTCTTTGTTGACAAGTCTGCACACTGGCCATACACCTAGACAATTTCAGGTCTGCCTTCGGAGCAGAGCATCAGGGTCTGTCCCATGAGCTTCTGCACACGGCAGAGCAATCCTGTCAGTTTGTTTTGTTTACTATTTATGAAGGAAGCAATTGCATTTGGACCCTGATCTTTCCTCTGGAATACAGTTCATACAATGCCACTCCTCAGTCAGAAACCAAGACAGCAGTTACAGCGAGGCACTATTATTGCCCGGTGCTACATTATAGCAATTGAATTATGTTTATTTCACAGAACAGAGATAATTACATCCGCTCTTGTAAATTGCTACCTGATGGCTGCACTCTCATAGTGGGAGGGGAAGCCAGTACTTTGTCCATTTGGGATCTGGCGGCTCCAACCCCACGCATCAAAGCAGAGCTGACATCCTCGGCACCCGCCTGCTACGCCCTGGCCATCAGCCCTGACTCCAAGGTCTGCTTCTCATGCTGCAGCGACGGCAACATCGCCGTGTGGGACCTGCACAACCAGACGCTGGTGAGGTGAGCACAGGTGGATCTCTAGGAGAGGCCCCTCTTGCAGTGGTGGCCTGGAGAGAAGGCCTCCTGTCACCTTGGCTTCTCTGGCTGCCCCTAGGTTCCCGGCCCATCTGCTACCAGGCCAGGATGGAACTGGGTGCTGGGAACACCCAGGGGGGCTCCACGGTCTGTCAAGCAGTGTGCCGGATGGTCTTCTTTGGGCTTCTGTTCTTCAGCCCACGTTGAGGGGCAGGCCTGGCTTGGGGATGTGGGGTTAATGTCGATTACACGGCAGTATGAAGAGCCCTGGGTGTTTTGAGCTTTGGTCAGAACCTTGTTTATGCAAACAGGAGCCAGCTGAGGAAAAGACAACACAAAATCAACAAAAGGACATTAGAAGAGATTCCATGAATTGAACCCACAGACCCACAGTGTCTGTGTTTTTCAGTAACTACGTAAGAGTCCTGTTCAGGGTTTACCCCTTTCAGGAATGGGGTGCTCTGCCTGGCTTCCCGGAATCCATCCTCTCAACCTCAGCTCCTGTTAGGCCTCTGCTACCTTGGTCAGGGCTCACACCAGAGATGTCCTGGGAAAGTCTTTTAAGAAGTAAGCACTGAGCTGTGCATGGTGGGACCTGCCTGTGATCCTAGCACTCTGGGAGGCTGAAGCAGGAAGAGCATGAATTCAAACTCAGCAATTTAGCAACTTAATGAGACCCTAGCTCAAATAAAACATTAACCAAAAAGGAGTAGGGTTGTAACTCAGTGCAAAGGCCCAAGGTCTGTTCGCAGTACCAAAAAGAGAAAGAGGTAAACACGCAACATCACAGGTACAGTCGGGTGTGTTTGGCTCTTTGCCACGTTTCATTGCTGTTCAGAAATTTCCTTAGTTGATACTGCATTTGAGGCCTGCGGCTTATCTGGTGCAGGCCCCACTGCCAGTCGGGTGCACGTGTGGGGCTGTAGAGGTCATCATGGCAGCCCGACTCCTTCAGACATCCTTACAGAAATCCAGTACTGTGAAGGCAGGCACATTGGTGATACAGCACAGAGTGAACCGAAGGAACTCGTGGAGCCAGGTTACAACACCCCTTCTATCTTTAGAAAAAGTTACTTTCTTTTTGTTTCTTCTGTAACTTAATAGCACTTCAAAATATTAGTCCTAAGCACTTTTCAATTGGGATCCCATTTAGTCTGATCTGCTTCATCCCATGTTTACAGAGAGCAGCCTGGGGCGTGGGAAGGTTGAGTGGCTCACCCTGCTCACCAAGGCAGCATGGTGGAGCTGCACAGCCCTCCTGCCATGGCTATGCTCTGCGCTCCACTGTGTGCCGGCTCCCTGCAAGGAAGGCCTGTTGTCCAGGAGAGGCTGGTGCCTTCCAGGCTCTGTCAGGCTGTAGTGGCACCTGTGATGAGTGGCCGCTCTGTGCAGGACACAGGTCATTGTGTTTCTTGTGACACAGCACATCATGAAGACTCATGGCTCTGTCTTTTGGCAGCCGGAGAGTGGCACTGCCATCAGGACATGGATGGTGGCAGATGTAGGGGCGCTGTCAGGTGTGAGCAGGAAAGGATGTTTTTAGGGGACAACACATTAACTGAATTAAAGAAGTGAAGAGAAGTCACAAGGTGATAGGATGCGGGGAGGACTGGGTTTTCAGAGCTGTGATGAGGAAGACAGGAAGCACCTCAGGGACACCCTGGAGGCAAGCCTGCCTGTTAGGGAAGAGGACCGAGCTGGAGCTGCCGTCACTTCCCAAGGCAAGGACGCTTGCCCTAGCTCACGGAGGAGAAGTGTTAACTCAGAATTCAGAGCAGCACGGGCGCTTCCCATGTGCTCTTATAAATTCCAAGCTCAGCTTTAGAAGTTTGGAGCTCTGTGGGAATAAGGAGCAGGGCGGGGGGAGGGGATCCTAAAGGAAAAGGCACGGGACATCAGAAACTCTGAGCCTGTGGTCTTCACTCAGTCTTACCCGATTCTGAAGGTGGCTCCTGACCTCTCCCACTCCTCAGCTCCCTCTCAGCAGGCAGAGCTGAGTCCCTGACAGGCACCACTGCTGCATGCTCCCAAGATCGAGGCCCCTGCAGCCTTGAGCAGCACCTGTGCTCAACAAGTCCCCAATGTCTGATTGTCTCAGAGGCCAGAAAGGTTCTCCTAAGAATAAAAATCCTGTGCTCAGCTTGGAGGCAGGGTGCTGCCCGTGGATCTGCCTCAGTAATTAGCTTTATCTCTGCCCAGTGCACCGAATCAGGATGCTGCGTGACCCTTTGTCTCTGGAAGTCCAGATTTCCTAACACAAGGCTCTTTCTAATTCAGAAGGTAGGGTTGAGTAAACAGGTGAGCTCACGCTCTGTTGGCACGAAGGTTTGGCACAAATGGTTGATTTGCTCAAGGGGAGAGGATGCTTCTGGAACACAGCCACTTCTCACAGAGCAGGACTTTATCTTTCCTGAAGGACACACTGGGATTGTGTGTTTCTCCTTTATTTTCTTTTAACACTTTTCAGACCTGGGGAGGAGTCTTACCTTCTAGACAGATTTGGCATAGAAGTGAGAGCAGCAAATCTGACTTCTGGGTAGTGACCTCCAGTGGCATTCTATCTCTTTAGCCCTTGGATGGTAAAAAAAGAAACCAACTATTCAGGTGCATTTTCCTGTCTTCCCAGGGAAAGTTAGTTTGATCTTACACATCAGCAGACACTGACAAGATAACACACATGGAATCCAAAACTAACAACAACAGTGTTTACCTTAAGCTCTGGCAGGAAATCATTATTCAATCTGGTTTGTTTTATCAGGCAGTTCCAGGGCCACACAGACGGAGCCAGCTGTATTGACATTTCTAACGACGGCACCAAGCTCTGGACGGGCGGCTTGGACAACACCGTC